CGCATGGGTGGTCCGCATCCCCGCCTCGCTTCCCGCACGCATGGGTGGTCCGCATCCCCGCCTCGCTTCCCGCACGCAGATTACTCGATCACTGATCTGAAGAGAATTCGATTGCTCTTAGTGCTGTGACGTCTTATGTGTAATATCGTATTGTGATGAATTTGTAAAGATAATTATTTAAAAAAGTAAATCGTAAGAAGTAGCAGGGCAGTAGCTTGCAGGGGGGGGGGGGGTTGCCACCCAGGAAAATGTAGTTACCATACATGGTCAATGGCAGCCACATTTCCAGAACACACCATGCACGTGGCTTAGGCATAAACTTAGGTGTTTACTTACTGCATAACAAATCGTCTTTGTTTGCGCAACTTATCAGATCGTGCGCTTTGAGTGGCGCCACCGTCGTTGTAATCAAACTGTAGTCGTTAGTTTTAAAACATTTTTTAATAATATTTCTAATGGTGATTGAACCATGAAATTTTTTATGTAGCGTAATTGTAACCTAAATTAACTGAAAATAACCCTAAAACCTAGAGTTAACGATCCCTTTAAAACGTGTTGCATTGCGCGTTCAACCAACTTGGTAGTTAACGATGCTTCTTATTGGGTAATTTGTAAACTATTGAGAAAATCGTGCTGAAGAGAGTACCAGATTCGTTGACATTCGTTGCATTATTGTGAATTTTTACTAACAGACAGAACATGTTTTCTTAGATTTCATGTGACTGGAAGCTTGCTCAGATCTCGTGCCAGCACGGTGTAGTATGGGCCATCACCACAGATGGCAGACTGATCTACCGCGTGGGTGTCACTAGCGGTACGCCTGCCGGTACGTTCTGGCAAACCGATAATACAAGGTATGTGTTTAATAGTGCCAGATGGTACAGAAACTACAGAGGGGTAACTAGTACAGAAGGTATACTAACGGGTACAGTTTTTTAGCTCACCTTGACATCGTCAAGCTGAGCTATTGCCATGGGTCGTCGTCCGTCCGTCCATCCGTCCGTCAACATTTGGCTTCGGTAAACGATAACTCAGGAACCGTTTGACCCACATGTTTGAAATTGGGTGTAGTTGTTACTGCTATGCTCCCATATTAAACGTCCTATTTTGGAGCCACGGCGATTTTTTGGCAAAAATGGGAATTGCCATTAGTCAGTTCAGGTTCAACGGATTTTGCTCATTTTTGGTATGTGAAAGGGCTAGGGGTTTTGATACTTAAAAAAAAAATTATGCAAATTAGGTAGGGTTTGGCAATTATATAGCATATTATATAGACACAAACAGACTGTGGTGTCACACTCGTCTGGTTCGTTTTACACGATTTCATTGACAATATCTTTAATGCAAAATTGGTATTTCCTCTCCACCCTGCCAATAAAACGTCTATATTAGAGTAAAGTTTTACAAAACATGTCGGAACGCAGCATAACCTATTTATTTCAAACGCCATCGCTACAAAGCGGGTATAGCGCCATCTACGGTCCCAAATTGTGATTCATTTTGGTTTATAAATTATGCGATATACAATCGTTTCTATAATGATGGTTGCTCAATTAAAACTGACTTCTTCTTACTCACTCATTTGTGTCCTTTTTTTGTGGTGAGCTACAGTGTCATTGACACTTTCATTTATTAGCAGGAAAATAATAAATATTTCGATGTGTTTGTATGAACCGTCATTAGCTTGTGTAATGTCGGTATGTTTCACCCACATCTTTGTGAATCGTGCAGCAGAGCAGTAAACTGTACTGTGTTGTGCCTGGCAAAGATGTGTATTTGTACTTCAGACTATGGAGCATAGTGTGTTAAAACGATCATTGCGAGAATTTTGCTCAGAAAAACTAAATATAGCTGAATATAGTCTCATCTGACAGCGAAAATATCACTGATTACACCAACATTTAAAACACCAATATTTTATGCAGTTATAGCATAGAAAAATTGATTTGACCACATACCAGCAATACATTTTTTCGAGTCAGGACTTTCAAAAATCACAAATGGCGTCTCAAACAAGCGAACATAATTAAAACAAAGGGGCATCTATTTGTGTGTGATAAGTATTCTCGCTGGCGGTACGCAACGAGGATTTGATCCATTTCTCTCTCCGTCTTCGTTATAGTCCCTAGGACTTTTGAAGACTAATATTTATGAGGTTACAACTTACACTCTTGTTTGTGTTACGCTACTATGCACCTCTGTGTTTACATCTGACCAAAAATATCTCCGGTGCGATTTTTGCATTACTGTACCCTTGTTGACGTCTCGCGGTACCGCGAGAAAGTGCGAGACATGACAGCGAAAATCAACAAGAGAACGCAAAATTGTAATCGTGCATGATTTTGTCTTTGCATGCGGTTCTAAGACATTTTATTGTTATTTCAAACAATTACTGTTACTCAAGCAACAATGGTAGGCATCATGAGAGTGAGAATAAACACTAAAAAACGCTGAAAACAACTCGCAATGATTGCTTTAAATTGCGTGTCTGATATAATTTTCGCTCCACCAGCATCGTTTTATACCGAATACCACATCAGCTGCAGATCGCTTTAGATCTCAGTTCGACTTGCCTACCACGTGTTCAAGATTTATCACGAAGTCTCGCACATTTCAGTGACAGCCTTCAGGTTCCTGTGTTGAACGTGGCAGCTGCAGAGCAGTCTGTGTGGATGGCTGACACTCAGGGTCAGGTCTGGTTCAGAGCAGGAGTTACAGCTGACTATCCCGAGGGAGACGAGCAATGGTGGCAGGTGTGTAGCGCACGCATGAAGCTGTTGTTTATGGTATTTTTTAAAGAAGTTTGATGAGAATTATTAGCAAACACTAGGGGGGGTGTAAATGTACGATGTAGAGAGAGACAGACACGCAGAGAGAAGAGGAGAGAGTGAGAGAGCGAAAGCGAGAGAGAGATAGAGAGAGAGAGAGAATTTGACAAAGTGGAAAGTGGAAAGGAGGGATGTAGGGTGTGAGAAAAAATCACTGGGAAAGGTTAGAGACTATTATTATTGTCCATTCGCAATGAAGTTGTTCCATCAAACATGATACAGTAGTAGCAGAAACCAATAGATTCTTAAAGATTGAAAATGACAGTCATATTGTGAGAGGTGTTGAGGTGAATATTTCTGTTATACACACTCGCATACGTCTATATTACGCTTGCCATTACAAACACGTAAATAAGCCAAGATTACCAACTGTTGTGTGTTAACGACTGTTGTCTCTTCGCTGCAGGTGGTGATTGGGGGCTACTTGGTCGCCGACAGCGGTCAGGAAATGTCACTGGATCGGCTCAGGTCGTTTGCACACAGCTTCTACCCGGACCGAATCACAGGTTACTGGCAGCAGGCGGCCCTGACAAATCTCATCGTGTCGGTGAGCGGGAGCGGAGTGTGCATCGCCGAGCGAAACAAGAAGACGATGCACATCTGCCGCGGAGGCATTCTAGGTGCGAACGCAGCGTCGTCGAATCGCGTGAGATGTCCGTCGTAACGACGGTGAACTCTCCATTAGTTTATGTCAGCAATGATGGGAGACGTGAGAGCGGTTGTCGGGATCGCTGCGAGGCGTCGATGATGTACTAAGCAGCTTTCTTTGCAACTTTATAGATTTTAGATATTATTTTAGATTATATTTTAGTCTTTATTTTACCAGTACTTCCATGGTTCTTGTAACTCCTCCAATTCACACACATGTTGCCTGCATCTATTTTTGTTGCTGATGAAAAGTGATGGCAGGTCAAAAGCATCTACACCATATGCCTGCAATTATTAAGGAATATATAATACTTGTAGGGGTAATCATAGCTGTAGCTCTATTAGTACTGTACATTATGAGAATGGAGCTTTACTGGACCATCATTTCATCTGCTATTTCTCTCTTGGACCTCGAATTTGGCGCACGACTCCACTGCGGACAGCGCTTCATACTTGAACATCCCCGCGGTCGCGTCCGGATATCCCGCGGAACTGCGCGTCTCATTCGCGCGCAGCGCTCAGGATCAACAGCAAAGCTGTGCCACGCAATCTTGTATCATGTCTCTCTGGTTCTCTCTTGTCTGTAGGTCACATATGGGATCGTGTGGTACCACCAGAGATGGCACCCTCCACTAAATGGCTCAGCGTACATGCTAGTGGCGTCAGTGGATCCATAGATAGTAAGACAATTCTATATAATTTCTATATAATTCTATATATTTCTATATAATTCTATATATTTCTATAATTCTATATAATTTTATATAATTCTATATATTATTTCTATGATTATTTCTCTTTCTAGTTCTGGTTAAAATTAATTGGTCTTTTTGGATTTTTCTAATGAAACGAATTCTTCACAGACCTCAAACATGCCAATATAAAAGAAACATAAATGCACAATGACAAATGAGTGGGAGTTCCATCTCGCTTTGTTAGTACTACTTAGTACCCATTATTAATTGTAGTTTATCCATGTCACACAAGTATTAGCAAGTAAATTGATGTAGACATAGAAGAAGTAAGGTGACGTATTTGTTACGCAGGTTCAAATCTTATGTGGGCTCAGCATCCGAGCGGAGAGTTGTTTTGCTTCCCACCAGATGGCGGTATGTTCTGCTCAGTACCCGTGCCCAGCATTTGCACGTTCTCCTGCGTGAGTGCGGGCCAGAATGCACTGTGGGCGCTTACTGGTGAGGGCCAGGTATATATGCGAACGGGAATCAGCGCTCACACACCTCAGGGCAGGGATTGGGCTCAACTAGACCTCAGTCAGTTAGAACAAGGTATGTTCTTCACCCGATGGACAATTCAGAGCTGATAATCCAGCAGAAATGAGCCAAATCTATCTAAACTTACACGCCAATTTCCAACAAGACGTACTATTTTTGTTCCTTTTAATGATGGTTACAATATAACCTGTAGAAGAATTGGAAGCATCTGTCCAATTGTTATTCATGTAATTATGCCATATGAATATTGAGTGAGAGTACTGGGCTACCATTCTCATGACTTTATTTAAAGTACCAATCAATGATACTTGATATTACTTTCCCATAACATCACAGCACTGTCTATGGAGATGGGCCCTGTTTCTCTACAAGACTAGTAATTTTCCACGCTGTTTCCCAGTAAAGAATCGAGTCTTCCCCTACTTCACAGTCAAAACTCAGCTAAAACTTATATTAATGCAATAATTAGCAATAATAAATACCTTAATAATCCAAATTAATATTGTAAATGCAGATTTGCACCCGCGGCCAATTGCGACGCTTCCCTCTTTTGTGCGTTTGCAGAGAACGTGAAGTTGTGTCACTTGTCGTGCGGCGGTGATAGCGTGTGGGCGTGTGATACCGCCGGTAAGGTGTACATGCGCGTCGGCATTCAGCCGGACATAAACCGTGGCTTCCCCGCCGTGTGGGTCCCTGCAGACATCTACAGTTACACGAAGATGTGTCAGGTTATCGCCTCGCCTACCGACTCCATGATCTGGGGCATCGACGTGAAAAAGAACGTCTTTGTGAGAAAAGGTATTAATGAATACGTAAAGAGTCTCTCGACCGTAGATGGAAATAATGGATAAATAAATTGATAAAATAAATGAAAAAATAAAAAATAAATTCAGTAATTAAATGAATAATATAACAGATCATAATTCACTTGATTAAGCATGATTAATCTTATTTAGAGATAATAAACACAAGCTGCTTATTAGATAAATGTCTACATAAGAAGTTAGACTATGAACTGGTATGGCTGATGCATCTCTATCAAGGCTACAAGCATAACTCTATGTCACTCCTACAAAATCCTCTCATCATGTCTAATGTATTTTTGCAAGAATGCGTGAAATCCTTTTCAGTGTCGACATCCCATTCCTTCGGCAATATATGAATTATATGTAATCTGCGACGTATGCAATAAGGTATATCTGCGATGTACCGATGTACTTCGAGCCAAGCCGGATTCCTGACACTTGTTGGCTGCTGCAGACGTTAGCCCACGGAACCCGATCGGTACATCGTGGGTGCCTGTGCCCGGTACACAGGCAGAGCAACTGTGCCTCAGCTGTGCGAGCGTGTGGGCCCTGACCCCCGACTGCACCGTCGTACGCCGCGTCGGCCTTAGCTCCCTGAATTACACGGGCGACTACTGGAAAAAACTTCCAAGCAGCTTCAATCAGATATCAGGTATGTTGTACAGGTATGTCGTACAGGTACGTCGTACAGGTATGTCGTACAGGTATGTCATACAGGTATGTCATACAGGTATGTCGTACATGCTATAGATCTGTTTGTCGGTGTTGCAAAGCGGCTGCGTATCTCAGAACCAGGGGAGGAAATGGCGGTATTATTGGAAATTGATTCGTGCTAACTAATGTTATGCAAAAATTATTTTAACATGTAGGTATTCACGGATAGATTAGTTTGACGTATGCAATTCTTGACACTCGATTTTTAAGTTTCTTATATCTTTGTATAGCTCTTAAGACATCTCGACTGGGCAAATAATTTTTGGATCCAGAAAGCACGTTTAGTTCTAGATAAAGCTGTAGTACATCAAGAAACTATTTTAGCTGCATTGATGATTTCATATGGTCGCCAGTATTTACAACTGTGTGGACAATCTTGCTAGAGGGTAGCTCTAGTACTATAGCCCGCGTACAGTTGCCGCAGGCCTGCGTCTCTGTAAAACCTACCTGGATAGCTGCAAATACTTCTCACTATTATATTACTGTGATATAGCTGTACCGCCTGTATCACTCTCGTTTCCCACAGTTTTTGACCACTTTTGTTCACAGTAACGAAGAGTTCATAATAGAGAGAGAGTCTAGCGTCTATTGTCAACTCTTGACAGTAATACAATGCTGATAACTGCGATTATAGATTATTTCTATACATAGATGGCGCTCTGATGTCATTTTTGAATATATATATATATATTATTATACAAGCTGTAAGATATAAAGCTGTATATAGCTAGTGATAGATGTGGGGTTTAAACCATATTGGTATCCATCTATACTTTTTTCTGCAGTAACTGAATACATGAGTTATTGTGGGTTAAATATTGAATATTATTTAAATATTAATTTCTTTAATTTAGTATCATGTACCTTTTGTCTCTGTACGCAGTGACAGCAACCGGGGAACTATGGTCAGTTGGCACCGACGACTTGCTGTACAAACACAGTGGCTACTATTTGAGCACTGGCACTTCACAGGTTAGTGACACTGGAAAGGAAGAAGAGTGGGAGGTGCTATAGAGAATATACATATCCTTATGCACTTTATAGCTGTTTATTCCTTTAGTGTCGAATACGCCATCACATTTACGACTTAAACAGTGTAGAGTAACCTGTGCTAGAGGTTAGTTCCTGCGAATATAAAAGCTTAAAGGAATACTTTACTCTAGAATTTGAGAGTATATTATGATAGTAGATTGATAAATAATAGCACATACCTATAAATATCTCTAATTACGCATTCACGTTTGTCATAAAACAACATTGAATTTCGAAATCTTGGGCGCTGACATGACACCCGCGACCGTGCTGCCACCCTGAAAAAGTTGCGCATTAGCCAATTTATTTTGCACGTTACAGACCGAGGGCTAATCACAAAAGTGCAATTATATTTATACTTAAATGCTATTTAACCGAACGATATTCATTTTAGGACAAATTTATCCATATAATAACTGAAACTATATGTCGTTTATAAGATATTGCAATCCTTCTGCTTTTAAATTAATAAATAAGAAACACCCTCGGTCTGTAGCCCTTGGCTGAAAAGTCCGTTTGGGCAACTTTTCAGATAGTGCGCTATAAGTGCCGCCACCGTCGTTGTAATCAAACTGTAGTCGTTAGTTTTAAAACATTTATAAAAAACATTTCTAATGGTGTTTTAACCTAAATCAACTGAAAATAACCCTAGAACCTAGAGTCAAATATTCCTTTAAAATATAAATAAAGCATCGACACCGCGTAGACACACTAAAATTCGTAAGGGCTGTAAATAAATCATGACACATAGTAATTGCATAATGGGGTGTAGTGAAGTATGTGTAGTATTATTTCAGACTCGTATCTTGGTGAAGAAAATATTTATTTCAGTATTACTTGTAATTTTTGAAGAATTGAACATGCACATTCCTGCTCTGACATATTTTATGCTAGGCTATAATGTTGAAGAGCATAGGCATGTGATTTATAGTAGTACCTTTTAGGCATGTTTTAGGATTATTTATTGGTTGTGTTATCGAAAGAGGAATACATGAAAACGTAGTCAGCTATTTGTGATGTTAAGCTAGTCACCCACATACGAAAATGTCAAATTATTATATTAGTGAATTGTTTGTTACTCATCATCTTTCAAGTATGTAGAACCTCATACATAGTATGTGTGTAGGTAATATGTTAGTAGTGTCAGACACTAGCCAGCTAATTATGAATATCTAAAAAAAAAACAAAAAAATGTATGAAAAATGGGACGTTTTAATTATTCTGTTGCTTTGATTGTTGCTTTATTATTTTTAGTTGTCACTTTTGTCTGCTGACCGTTATTGTAAAATAATTCTTTACATTGAAAGATGTTGACATCTTGTACTGATAACTTGTACTTTCATGAGCATAGACATATGTTCTAGATAACGTTTATACATATATAGCTGTGTATAGGCGGATGAAACGATAACAGATCACTCTGCCATGTGCATTTTTTGCATTGAAACTGTTTATTTGCGAAATTTGGTCTTGCCGGTTTCACACTTATTATTCGTTACATTATAAATGACGATTTGGTAGCAGGTTTTTTTGCAAACATCTAAATGCAAACAGGCGGGTTATTACTAATTATAATAACAAAGATTTACTTTGACCAAGTTTAATCATTTTCCAAACACACGGGACGTCACTGATGACACGCTTTGTTTCTTTTACGATAGAATGTGGATTGTTACCTGTGTTGCAGTCAGTGCTTTCTTTAGGGCTGGTGCAAGCTTTAGGTTGACCTAGTCACTGTTAACTGAGTTTGATACAGAGTGCCCACTTGATTACCATTAAGCAGAATTTGCTTCTTAAACGTGAAACCGTAACGTTCCACCAAGCGACTTATTAATAATTAAACGCATATATGGAATTTAGGTAACTGACTTTCGATATCTGATGTCTGCAGATGTCGACTTGTGCACTTGCAACATTGTAACACGTATACTGGTTTCTGCAGTCACTTAATTTCAAATCAAATACTTATGTCGTCGCTCATATCATAGTTGCATTTGATCTATCTATATGCTTAATGGTAAATTCAAGCAGGTGTGTATATTATATTGATTTAGGCTGAATATATGATGCGTGTGTGCTGGTAATACTCGTGTGATATTTAATAATAGAGATATTTATCTTGCGATAAAGAAGAGACAATTATATAAACAATACTCATCATTTATTAAGTTAAGATGGTGCTCAGGGTGATCAGGTACTGTGTTCAGATTTAATTGAATTAATAATTATTAATAATTATGTTCAATAAAGTCCTAGAAAGCTCTTTAGGAAAACATGAAATATTTTATCACATATTATTTTAATCATTTTCACTGAGATATTTTTCGTTTCACCTTTCTTATCAACTTTGTATATTACCTTATTTACTCTTGCATATGTTATATTACACAGAATGTTTGTACATATATCACCAGGATCTATCTATTAGTCTGTATTACCCTGAAATTATAGTCTGTAATATTCCATATATACCTTACTAATAAAATGTTTTCTCCAGTTGATGCCTAATATATTGTATTCATGACTCTGCAGTGCTACCCACCAATTTGCCAATTTCGCGATTAAACTAGCAATGGTCTGATAGAAGCGGGATTATTGCATTTCACATTGATGTACTCGCGGTAGTAATTAAATTTATTTATTTATTAATTAAAGACGATGTATATATCTTTTACCAATGTGCCGTCTTTAAATAAATAAATATATAAATAATTAGTAGCTACTTTTCATAATCAGTTTATCTATTACCGATGTTCGAATACATATCAATACACAGAGACGTATTAACCCTAACAGTAGCAAGTAAGATGACAAATGACTGTGAGGTAACGGCGTGGGATGCCACTAATAAAGACTGAAAATATTCATACCGGGAAAGTGACCAACGGAACTGTTGACTAGTTAGTACTACTCGTTAGGCAGGAGTCGTGTAGTTAGTACTACTCGTTAGGCAGGAGTCGTGTAGTTAGTACTACTCGTTAGGCAGGAGTCGTGTAGTTAGTACTACTCGTTAGGCAGGAGTCGTGTAGTTAGTACTACTCGTTAGGCAGGAGTCGTGTAGTCAGTACTACTCGTTAGGCAGGAGTCGTGTAGTTAGTTTAGATTCGTTTGTAAAGTTAAAATCTCGGGTTTATTGTTCAGCGCTTGCGCTCAAAATAACGTTCAGACCTGGTGTTGCCTCCGTGTTAGATGATTCACTTACAAGCCTACAGAGGCTTGTTGCGCGTTGTTGTGTTTGTGCATCTGATGTAGGATTTCCATGAATCCACACATACGTACGTGTGCGTGCGTGCGTACGTACGTGGGTGCGTGCATGTATGCGTGCGTGCGTGCGTGCGTGCGTGCGTGCGTGCGTGCATGCGTGCGTCCATCCATCCATCAATAGTTGCACCCAGCCGCATTATGTATTTATTTGCATATGTGTGGCTGCGTGGATAGGGATGGGTGGATGGATGAACGGACGGACGAATGAGTGACTGGGTGGTTGCTCGGGTGGGTGGGGAATGTATTGATTGATTGATTGGTTGATAGATGGATGGATGGACGGACGGACCGATCGATCGATCAGTGGATGGATGAATGGATGGATGGATGGATGGATGGATGGATGGATGGATGGATGGATGGATGGATGGATGGATGGATGGATGGATGGATGGATGGATGGATGAATGAATGGATGGATGGATGAGTGGGTGGGTGGATATATGTATACGGTTGATCCGCATTTCAGCACGCGTGTTCGCTCCAGTCACACCGGTCCCTCTCTGTAACACTCACCAGAGGTTTATGGTGCCCTTGCAATTAATAACGCAACATATACGGTGTTTATGTCTTCATCCAGTTCCTTCAGTAAACTGAACGGTAAAAGATGGGCGGCATGCATCCTTCGTTGGCATAAAATAAACAATGTTAAACATTCAGAAGTTGTTTGCTCTTGCGTTGCAATAATACGCGCTATATTTGACGCGTGTGTTTTCTGACGGTAATGCCGTAAGAAGTCCCATCTTCCTAGCCGCACGTTGCTTATCGAACCAGCTTCTAGGAAAATATTTTCTAAATGGGAGTCAGCCGATGATGAGAGCAGAACAACACTAAGAGAGAGCATATCCTCCCTGCAGGCCCAACTGACCCATGTTTTCGCACCAATTAGAAAGGCACTTCAAGCAAACCGCAACCTGCCATGTTGAGGTCGCTATGGTCCACCAACCTCTAACTATAAGGTCAACTACCTGCAATGTATATATATAATACATATATTGTATATATCTATTATATTGTATACAATACATTTTGTTTTATATATATATATATGATATAATGTGGCGTGAGGCGCACCGAGGTATGTTCCCAATATCGCCGATAGATGGCGCCGATACTGTGGTGTTTATCATGATCGTATCCTTGTTTTGTCCCGGAGTGCCGACGGCACGCGTACGTTGCCCACGTTTTACTGAAACGGAATTTCCGAAATCCGGTCGTCTGTCCTTCCGGTTCGAACGCTAACGTCCTTCGCGGAGTAATTAAGTCGTATGCCGAATATGCAGCCAATAACCTAATAATAAAATATAGTATATATGTAACCAATAACCATAAACATGTAAGCTGAAGAAATCTGGCTGGAGACCAGAACAAATTCCGGCTTCACACGATCACGCACACATGACATGACAGTAACGCTCAGTCTATCCAAAAAAACAACAAGAGGAACGGTCACGGTCCATTCCCAGCTTTACAGGTGGAAAATATGCAATTTCCTAGTTCCAATTTAAGTAAAATCGCGAACAAGAAATCTTTCATTTACTGGCTTCCAGTTAATTAAAATGGTCCGATCTCGCGTCCCGATCATAATCATTTCTCCTTAAACAGTGAAATTGTCGCGAGAAAAAACACGATGCTGGTTAGATAAAATGAGCGCGCAGTGACACGCCGAATATAAATCCGAGGATGCCTGGCTGGCCTATAAATAGCCAATGATCAGTGATTAGACAATAGCTAATAACTATAGTATCTGGCCGAGAATTCATTGTGAACAATCCACATTATCTATAGCAATAAATAACAATTCATATGTTATCTATAACAATATATAACAATCTATATATTATCTATAACAATATATAACAATCCATATATTATCTATAACAATATATAACAATCTATATATTATGTATAACAATC